AAAAATTGTAATGTATATAATACATATAAATGATTTAGGGATACTTTAGAGAATATATATATATATATATATATATATATATATATATATATATATATATATATATATATATATATATATATATATATATATATATATATATATAGTCATAAGGATATATGTATATATATATTTGAGCATACACATGTGTGAGTACAAACATTCTCATATGTGTTTGCATTAATACACATATAATCTTGTTTATCAGTATGTGTGTGTGTTTTTACATATGTGCTATAATGTATTTATATAAGTGTTTGTATTTTCTTCAATGTGTTTGCTTTTGTATATGTATTTGTATATATGCTTTAATATGATACTACTAGAATCATACATAATATTTAACATACAACTCCAGCTAACCATAACCATTACAACTGCTAACTACTACTGTCACCATACATGCTCCAAAATTTTGACTATCATGTACAATCTACTCTAACACTCCTGTCAGGGTTATTATAAAAATATCCTTACCATATGATATCTACTTAAAAAACGAATAATTCTACTCCAGCTCTCTTCCATACACCATCTGATAACTCCTTGAAAAACGAATAACTCTACACCAGCTCCGTGACATACATCTGACAAATACTTAAAAAACAATTAATTCTACTTCAGCTCTCTTTCATACACCATCTGACAACTACTTAAAAAACGATTAACTCTACTCCAGCTCTGCTACATACATCATCTAACAACTACTTAAAAAAAAAAAGTTTTGATCAAGTTCTGTTACATCATCAGATGTTTACGTTAAAAACAAATAACTCTACTCCAACTCTGCTACATACATCATCTGATAACTTAAGACACAAGTAACTATGAATATTATTAAGCAAAAAACAAGCCATGATTTTCATGTAACGAATAATTCTACTCCATTTTAAATATTTCTCGTAACATCACAGTCATATGACTTATGCACTGTGATTCTGTTTACTTACACAAAATACCAAACACTTTTCAAAACCTCATATTAACCGGTTAAACTACAAAACTCCATATGATTGTTATGTATTAGTGGTAATTTTTATAGATAATTAGTTTAAAAGATTTACATATTAGTTTTTGTTGTTATATTAATGTAAATCTAGTTAACATTTTAGATCATCTAGTTATAATAGGTAATTTATTCTCCAAAAACACGTTATAGTACTACTACAAATCACGCCTAGCTAACGTTACACCAACTTAAAGGACCTTTAACTATTTTTTATACTGATAACTCTTACTATTGAGGCATGCTACTACAATAGTTACACACGTAAACCACATTCTCTATTGACATTACACATACCTAAATGAACTCAAAACAATTCACAACTCTCATTGACCCATGCTACACTTTGAAAAAACACTGCACTTAATAGACACTCATGTCAAAAACTACTTACTATTGTTTGCAAGTTGTACTGAACCCCGCTAAGTGTACTATGGTCTCAGTGTCAATTCAGGAGTCTGTGGCAATCGTCCTGACTGGATACTCTGAGAATAGTCCTTTTGGGATAAAACAATGGAATACCTTTTAAAAATATACCCTGGTGTAGACCCAGAGTCGAACTTCTTTTGGGATACCAGTTTTGAATGAAAGCTGGAGGTCTTTATGCGTTCACACTGCACCATAAGGCACAAATCCATACTGTACTCGAGACATTCATGACACTTATATCTATAATGTATGTTTATCATCCTATTAATACATACCACATGGTGACTACTTATAAAACGAATAATTCTACTCCATTACCAATTCTATCTACAAATCACATTTACGCTGGACTCTAACAACAATTTAGTAGCACAACAACTAATGACTTTCCTTGACTGTTGTTTATTATTCTTATTTACTTTTTACTACACTTTACTCATATCAGTTTTTAGTATTTTTCCACTTTGAGGCTCTTTGTTTTCCTCTAGACATCTGTCCTTTTGTACTTTTATCTCACTCTGCTCAACTCTTTTTAACTTATTATTCATCCCTAAGGCGTACACTGCTCAGTGCAGCTTCACTAAAATGCATTGCATTTACAATATATATATATATATATATATATATATATATATATATATATATATATATATATATATATATATATATATATATATATATATATATATATATATATATATATATATATATATATGGCTAACTGTGATTATTTTGAGATTTTGGATAATGCCCCAAAACAAACACAAATTAAAGATAAAAGAAGCCCTCCACATTAAATGGGAAAATCCCTCACTTAATAAACAAATTCAACAATATGCTATAAACTTATCTATTTAACTTTACTATCAGTTTATTATTATTATTAATTTTTTTTTTGACAGTTGTTTATTTTGATTGATTTTTTACCGAGTTATTTTCTAATAAATATATTGTTTCATTATGTAAATTAATCATTATGTAAAAAAGTCCGTTATTATTTCTCCGTAAAAACTTCTATTTTTTAATATTTATTTCAGAGTTTTATTATTGTAAAATAATAAAATCTTTTGAAAATATAAATAAAATTTTACGAAACGTGTCAAGAATAAAAAACTTCGTGTTATATATATATATATATATATATATATATATATATATATATATATATATATATATATATATATATATATATATATATATATATATATATATATATATATATTTGCATATATCTTTTACAATCAATAACTAACTGAAACATGAGCAGAATATTATTGTACTAGTAATAACAATGCTTTACTTATTAATTTTGCCAATGCTATATTTTTTTCCATTTTTTTGTAATTATTTCTTAAATTAACAATAATTTTTAAAATAATATTAACTACCAATAACGACCTGTAAATCACTTTTTTTTTTTTCCTGATTTTTGCTGTAGTTTCAAAAACTAAAAGCTACACGATCTGCACTGAAGAAAAAATTAACCAGGTGTCCCAAAAATGTAAGAACACCAAGAATGTTTCTGTGATGAGGGTCTCTAATTTAGGTGTCTTCATCACCTTCAGCTTAACAATATGTTTCAGCGATTTGGTTGAATATAACGATCATTAAAAAAAAAAAAAAAGCATAAAAATAAAAATAACAATTATTTTCTTGTAACAAAAATGAAGAAAAAATGAATGTTTATTGTGAAAATCTAAAAAAAAGTGCAAATTTTTTCGACCATTTGTGGAGCATATTGTAAATGCATACGACTTAATATTTGTTAAGGAAAAAAAAATTAAGAACTTTAATAAATATTAATAGCCACATTAAAAATTAACCATTTAATCATTAATTTTTAATGTTTTTAATATTTATTAAAAATTAATTGTTTTTCATATGAAGATGTTCTAACTGATGTAAAGTAGTATATCTTTATTATAACACATTTCTTGCTGAGGATTAAATGTTTGCTCTCAGTTACACGATGAAACAATTGGGGTGGAGATGTTTTATTGTGTGAATTAATAGGGCTACTGATGTTAAGAAGACAGCTACAACAAGCTCGTGTGCTTTTGGAAAAAAAAAATTTCAATGAGAATCATAAAGTTTTTTTTTTCTTACATTTAGTCCTAATGAAGGATTAAAGCAAATAACGTTCTGTGAAGTAAATAACGTTCTGTGAAGTAAATAACGTTTTGTAAAGCAAATAAGGTTCTGTGAAGCAAATAACGTTCTGTGAAGTAAATAACGTTTTGTGAAGTAAATAACGTTCTGTGAAGCAAATAACGTTCTGTGATTTTGGTTTTGAAAAAATAAATACTACAGAAACTTTGATAAATTTGATAAGATAAGATCATAAAAAAATTGGTAACATAATAAGTATTGAAAATAAAAAAAATACATGATTACAACACTAAATTTTTTTTGTTCTGATACTTGTGTCAATTAGGTATGCAATCAGGTGTGAAATATCCTCCATAACCCCACGTGCTTTAGTTTTGTGTATCTGTGGTATTAGGTAAGATAATGTGTATGGTTCTTTTGTTGCCATCATGAAAATACAAAAGTTTAGAACTTGCACCATATTTATAAAATTTTGGACATAAAAACTCTGGTATAAATGTGTATATATATATATATATGAGTATAGAAATAATTTATATGCAAATAATTATAGCATATCTTTTGCTCAAACACTGGCCTAGCTCTGAACGTAAAATATGTACTCAATTACTTAGTGTGCAGCTTGCAGAATAGCTCATACAAGCATGTGGTACTTTTTTTCTTCTTTTGATTATTATTATACTTTTAGCATATAATATATTAATGTATAACTTATTACGTATGATTTTATCGCACCATCTTTATAATCTTGTTTTGTTGCAGTAATATTTTATTCATGATCTTAGCCTTCTGTGCCATTATGGTTTTTTTAAGATTATGGCTATTCTAGAATATGCGACGAACGCAATTTTATTTGCGTCATACCCGGTGGGATAGCGATTTTCGATTTTGAAGCGATTTTTTTTCTTTATTTTATTTTTTTTAATGTATTTAACATCTTTAAAAATCCGAATTTTAGTGTTGAGTCTATTATAATTAAGAGATTAATTGAACTTTAAATATTGCGATTTTTTTAGCTATGTGTTGCTAGCTACATACCGTAGATTTGTAGCTAGCTACAAAATATCTAGCTGGTTGATAATCGTCATATCGTAATACAATTTTATTACAATATGACGTTAGCTACAATTGCCAGTGGGTTTTAAACTTATTAAGCTATCTGTCCTTGAAGCCAAATCGCTGTCTTTATCTTTACAAATATCGATAGCTTTTCGCTAACTTAAAAAGCTAACGATCCTCGCAGCCAAATCGCTGCCTTTATCGTTACGAATATAGCTAGCTATTTGCTAGCCGATTTGTTTTCATAGGCCACAAAAAAAACTACTTAATAAATGCAATTCGTTTTTTTGATATTTTACTAATTTTTTTTTTCATTGGTGTTTATATTATAAAATTTCATTATTGTTTTCTATTTTAGACTTTATCAGAGTTAATCAAAATACCTCCAGTGTAGAAAAAACATTTTTCAAAATTATTCTAGAAGAAATACAATCTTCTTTTGGCACAGTTTCATCAAAATTGCTTGCAAGTGATTTTGATTTTTTTCTTAACACACTTTTTGGTAAAATCAGTCTTTCTCTAAAGGAAATGCAATCAGCGATATTGTCGATTGCTCAATCAGAATTAGTTATGTTTGCACTTCATCGTAATCTGAAATCTTTTCCAAAAATATTAGGTACTTGTGGCGAGTTTTATGCTGTAGATTCATTTCAAACATACAGTGAAATTTATCCTAGGCTTCTAAAAGACATGTCCTGGCTTAAAAGAGCAAAGATAGCTTCCAGTTTTCTTAATTTAATCCAAGATTTCCAAAATAGTCAAGTAGGATTGTTGTCACACTGTGATATTCAAGAAAACAATTTTGGATTGACAAGGTATTTGAATGTGAAAGCAATTGATGTTGATTTAGTATTTTCAAAAGACAAAATTGAAGAAATACTGACTCAACCTTCGTGTCAATCTGATTATGAATGCAATTTTTTTGACTGTCAATCAGAATGCGATACTAAAAATGGTCGTTGTACTACGAAATCTGTTACAAACAACTTGCAGGTTTTCGTATACATTTTAATTATTCTATGTGTATATATATCTTTGTGTTTATGTAAGTGTGCGTGTGTGTGTTTGTGAATGTATACAGTTTTGGACAAAATAATAGTAAGGGAGAGTGACCTAAAACGGACCCCTTTTCAAAAAATGATAGAATTAACTAGCTGTAACCAACCAAAATTTACAAAGTTTTTTTCAGAAAATTCAATGTATGTTTTACAATTTAACATCAGAAAATTAAAGGTGTAGCTATGCCTTACGTTATGAAACAACCGTTGAACAAAGAAATGCTAGGAGCCCATTTTCCATGGAAGTAGCCTAAAATAAGCCCCACAGCTTAGTTTCTAAATAAAACCTGATTATTAATCAAAAATTCACTATAACTGATTTGTAGATGATACATAATCTCCTGTTCATTATTCACATAAAAAATTGACACTGAGTAAAGAAAAATTGACAATAACTTCAATTATAGTCAAACTAAAAAAAAATTAGCTTAATAAAATTTTAAAAGTAGTACTTTCAATTTTTTTTTGTGCTGAAAATTAACAATAGAAAAAAACTATTTTTTGGATAGTTTTTTTAAATGTTTATTTAAAAAAACTATCCAAAAAATAGTTTTTTTAAATAAACATTTAAAAAAACTATCCAAAAAATAATTGACAATATTCTACTGTTAAATTTGTAATAATTATTTTCCAAGCAAGAGATTCGATAGGGGCCCATCTTACCTTAGGGATCCTTTTTAGACCACTTTACCCTAGTGTTTAGCAAATAATTAGTTATAATCATGTTTAATCTTAAAAATAAATTAATACTTTTTTACTTATGGTATGGTATAAATGGTGAGTAGGGAAATATTATTTTATGGTATAAATGGTGAGTATTTATGGTATAAATGGTGAGTAGGGAAACTAAAACATTGATTGGCATTGTGAGTTTATAACATTAGTAGCATTGTTGTGGTTTACTGTAAGAATCCCTAATTTTATACTTAGATCTGTTTTGTTAAAGTGACATATCTGTCGTTTGCCATTGTTTTATTTGTATTAGCTTTTTGTTTATTGGACTTTATTTACTTTTATCAAAGGTATGAATACTATTGGTGTTCATTCCAGGGGCGGATCCAGGATTTTTCGGTATTTCAGTTATATAACTTCGAGGCAAGTTCTAAATTCTAAATTTTTGTATTTTTATACATTTAAAGATGATTTGCCAAAAATTGCGCTGATTAGAGGCTGGAAACAAAAAAAACCCTAAAAAGTAGACATCACCCGCCCAAATGTGGGAGAATTTTTGAAAAATATTATGTTGTTAAGAAATTATACCTAATTTAAATTTAGAACCCCCTCGTTTTGGGGGACTCTAAACTTTAAATGGCTATAACGTTTGAACGCTAGATGATTTTTTGATCAAACTTTAAATATAGATGCACATTTGAATTCTATTAAAAGGAGTTCACTTAAAACTCCTTTAATTTTAAAATAAAGTTTTTTTTTATTCGTTTTTAAAAAATTAATGTGTAATTTTTTACATGAAATTTTAAAAACGAAAACTTTAGCATTTAAATAAATATGTTATCTATAGTTAAAATTTTCACGAGATCAATTTTCGTACCAATTTTTTTTCTTTTTTTATTTGCTTTTTTATTTATTCAAAATAACTTTTTCGAATATTAGAAATGCCTTTTTGTAAAAAGTTAAATAATCCTGTTTTTAAAAGTTTACAAAAGTTTTTGTTTTCAGTTAATATAATCAATTTTTAATAAAATAATTTTCCGTGATTTTTATAAAGTCAAATACTCATCTATGTAAATTACATAAGTATGAACATAAAAAAGTTAGGATTTTAACTTACCTAAAAGTTTTTTAATTCAAGCACCGAAATATCTTGGATCCGCCCCTGCATTCAATCGAATATTCTAAGATATGGAAAAATTTTATTTGATTAAATAGAAATTATGGGCCTTGAAATTAAATAGAAAATATGTAAAATAAATAAGCATTAATAAAACTAATGAGCATTGTTGCCAAGAGAAAAGAAAACTGAATGTAAAATAAAATAATAACAAATGAATTTATTCAAAAGACATAAGATTGTTTTTAGATTGTTCTCCTTAGATGATTAGAAATTAATTAAAATTACAAAATATTGATAAAACAATGCGCCGAAAAAGCAAAAACAAACTAAAATAATAGATTTTCCTGCACAGTTAACAGATCTCAATCCCATCAAAACTTTTGAACTGATGTCAAAGAGACAGTTTCTACAGAAAAAACAAGAAATGAGCATGTATTATGGAGCGTTGTTCAGGATGTAAAAAAAAAAATTTTAACGTTGCCAGGTCTAATCATATCTGTTTTGAATCGGTGTGAAGCTCCAATTCAAAACAGGGGACGTGATTAAATATATATATATATATATATATATATATATATATATATATATATATATATATATATATATATATATATATATATATATATATGTATATATATATATATATATACATACATACATACATACATACATACATACATACATACATTTAGGTCCGATTTCTGCGAATAAGTAGAGTGGTTTGAATTAAAAACTTTTACAAGATGTTGAGAATTCTATACCAATTTAAAAAATATATAAATATTTATCAGAGGTGACCGACTAAGGAAAATAAACTGTTTTTTTTTATACTATATATTTAACTTACGTTACCGAGCGATTATTATCGTTGATTTTTTTATATCTATTATTAAGAGTTGGAGTTATGTAGCAAAAAAATTAAAATCATTAAAAATAATTACAAAATTTTCTCTAAAAAACTGGTGGCACTTAGGGGTGGTAGATTAATCGGTATTTTACATTAATCGATTAACGATTAAATTTCGAAAAATTTATTGATTAATCGATTAATTATCGATTAATTTTAGGAAAAATGAGTTTATAACTTAATAAAAAGTAATTTATATTTTTTATGATTTTATTTCTCTTTTCGTCAGATATGATCTTTAAAAACATAAATTATTAACAGTGTCATCATTTAAGCTAGTTCTTAAATTAGTAACAAATAAATCAGCTGCACTAAAACTTCTTTCTGCTTCTATAGAAGACGGGGGAAGGCATTATAAATCTTTTCTAAAGAACTTGGTCTGTTTCAAGTGCTTTCGAGTACTGCAGTTTCACGTTTAATGCAAGTCAAAACTTCTTGAGGGGAAGACTTACAAGTTAGGCCTTTAGTTTTTCCTGCTGCTGAAGTTGTATTAGATATTATTTCTGCTAATTCTTCAGCTTTAGTTTTTTTCTTAATGGTTCTGTATTACAAGTAGACTCTAACTCAGACTCATATGCTGCTTCTACTTCCTCGTGTAGAAATAAACGTAGGCATATTCAAGGCCGGCGCAATAGGGGGTGTGTTTATTTAATACAAACCCCTCCCCTCCCTCCTTCGTCAATGATTTTTAGTAGGCAAACTGGACCCTAAGTCGGCAAATCGGACCCTTTTAGACTAGTTAGTCGGCAAATGTCGACCATTTCGATATAGGTTAGACAGTGCAAATGGCGTAATGACAGTCGGCAAATTTTGGAAAACGAGGACAAGTCGGCAAAAGTTGCAATGGCACCCCCCACCCACCACGTGACACCTACTCGCGCCGGCCCTGGGTATATTTCTCTAGCAGTTTTATAAATTTTATTTTTATAAGGGTATTTCAAAAGATTATCTGGAAATTCTGAGTCTGATTTATAGTCAGCTTGGTTATTTAAAAAGCACAGTAAACCAGCAATATTACAATTTCTTTTTTCGACAATTCTCTCCGAGACAACAGTAAATAAATTTTGACCAATGTTAGTATTTTGTTCTTTAAGGTTTTGTAGTAAAAACAAAATAATTTTATCAGATCACAGTTTCTTTTCCCTAGTTCCATAACACTTAACTCTACAACATGTAGAGCCTAAACAATATCAGAAATGTGTTTTATTTCTTCTTCTTTTAAAATTAAATCTGTTCTAGACATATCAATAACATTTGCAATAACATTTTTTAACTTTAAGAATCTTTTTAACTTATTGTTATTTAACTTATTATTCCATCTTGTTTTAGTCTCCAAAATAGGCTTAATTTTTTTTCCTAATTTTTTCCTTAAATAATAAAACAAATCTGTTCTACAAATATTTTGAAGGGAATCGTTTTTAAGTGGAGATTTTCTAAAAAGTTTTACTATTTTACGAACCTTCGATATGATAATGCCATAGTCCTCATTAAACTGGATATCTTGTAAAACAGAGCTAATACTTTTTTCATTCCAGCATTCTTCAGTGTCGTTTGCATCATCAGGGATGGAATCAGATGTTTCATTTTCATTCTCATCACTAATTATTTCTTCTTGAGTTGTTTCTATTTCGAAGCATTTTTTCTTATAAAAAATATCACATACAGCAAGATAAATTCCATGGCAGTAGCAAAGTTGGTGTGTAACTCCCATTTCTCATCCTATTTTTTTCATTACTGATGCACCATCAGTAACACATCCAAAAATATCATTGATCAAATTCAAGCCAAATTCATTTAATTTTTCAATAAAAGTATTAACAGCTCTTTCTGAAAGCAACGAACCTTTTATTCTAATCATTCCAAGACCTTAGTGACATTTGTCTGAACAATTTACATTAAGACATACTTTCTAGTTTTACCAAAAGTCCATTCAACAAGAGAAATTGAAAACCTTTCTCCTTTTAATTTTAATTAAATAAATGCTGAAGTTCTTGAACAACTTATAACTTCGTTGAGTTTGCGTAGTTCATAACAATTGTCTTTATAGCATGTCGATCATCAGGGATTTTAAGTCCTTGAGCTTTCCAGCCATTTTAAATATCTTTGCTATTGGCCAAAGTTGCAAAAGGGATACAATCAACAGCAGTTAAACGAGCTAATACATCTTCAGCTTTGCTACCTATATTATTACAATAAGCAGCAATAAGCAATACTTGGCTGTATATTTTTAGACTTC